CACACACACACACACACACACACACACGCGCGCGCGCGTGCGCGCGCGCGCACGTGTACACACATTTAAATCACCAAGCGCAATATTATTGCTCTGCCATTTAGTGTGCTAGTGCGTCAGTCGTTGATCACGAGAGACGACCTATACCCAGTCAGGCTATCAGGCACACGTATATATAGGAATGTTCTTGGCCAAACTAATCGAGTCTCTAGCGCCGATGTAGAGAGTTCTTAAACATAGATGAAATACGCGTGCAAGCTGCCATTATCTCTTGTGTAAAGCTACACGAACGAATAGACTCGAACTTTCGATAACTACGTTGCTAATGAGGATGCGTAATATGCTAAAGGTTAAATGCTAATTTATACGCGTAGATCACGAACACAAATTACAAGGGGACGTCGTGGCAGGTGATCCAAGGAGCGCTCAAGTGGGTCTCTGTTGGACAGGCCGGAGTGTGGGGAGTGAACAGCGCGGACACCATCTTTTATAGAACAGGCACAGGCAACGGCGCGGTGACATCCGGTACGTGTGCGAAACGTTACGTGCGGGCGTTTTTGTGTGATGTGGGCGCACATTTGGGGAATGGGAAAGAAGGTCACACGTACACGCGCGCGCACACGCACAGACACACACGCGGGCACACGCCCACACACACACACACACACACACACACACACACACACACACACACACACACACACACACACACACACACACCACCACACACACACACACACACACACACACACACACACNCTGTGCGAGTGCGCGCGCGTGTACGTGTGACCTTCTTTCCCATTCCCAAATATGCGCCGCACTATCACACAAAAACGCCCGCACGTACGTGTTCGCAGCACGTACCGATGTCACGCGCCGTTTGCCTGTGCTGTTCTATAAGATGTATCCCGCTGTCATCTCCCACACTTCCGGCCTGTCCACAGAGACCGACTTGAGCGGCTCTCGCTTGGATTCACCTGCCACGACGTCCCCTTGTAATTTGTGTTCGTGATCTACGCGTATGATAATTCAGCAATTTAACCTTTAGCATAGTTACGCATCCTCATTAGCAACGAGTTATCGAAAGTTCGAGTCTATCGTTCGTGTAGCTTACACAAGAGATAAATGGCAGCTTGGCACGCGTATTTGCATCTGATGATTAAGAAACTCTCTCATCGGCGCAGAGACTCGCTTTAGTTTGGCCAAGATACATTCCTATATATACGTGTGCCCTGATAGCCTGAGTGGGTATAAGGTCGTCCTCTCGTGATGCATACGACTGACCACAGCACACTATAATGGCCAGCAATAATAGTGGGCTTGGTGATTAAATGTGTGTACACGTGCGGCGCGCAGCTGCGCGCGCGCGCGCGAGCGGCGCCGTGTGTGGTGTTTGTGTGTGTGTGTGTGTGTGTGTGTGTTGTGTGTGTGTGTGTGTGTGTGTGTGTGTTGTGTGTGTGGTGTGTGTGATGTGGTGTTGCGTGTGTGGGTGTGTGTGTGCTGTGTGTGGTGTGTGTGTGTGTCTGTGTGGTGTGTGTGTGTGTGTGTGGTGTGTGTGTGGTGTTGCGCGCGCGCGCTGTGTGTGGGGCATGTGTGTGCGTATGTATATGTGTGCGTGCGCGCGCTCGTTCTGGTCATCGAGGACAGGTTAAAAAGCACCATCGTGATCGAGCTCCTTGATGTAGGGTGGTAATGTCGGTAGCCAAAGCGACCGTGTGGAGTCAGTCTAAGTGCACGTCGCTCTATACTGCTCTTACACTCGAGGTCAGACGAAAATGTTGCCGTGCTATTAACTCCCCACATTTCGTTTGATCACTGGATTCACGCTGACTTGCTTCAGATTGCCGCTGATTTTCTCCCAGCCTGTGCCTTGCGGTGACTCTGTAGTAATACCTAAAACACAGGGTGACAGTAGTGGCGACCAGGGAGTGAAAGTCGTACCAAAAAGCTGTTTATTCGCTGTACGAAACACACGGCACGGACGAACTTTATAGCTTTCTCGCGCGTGCGGTCTGTCTTTCCCCCTTCTCTATCTCTCTATGTCTGCCTCTCTCTCTCTCTCTCTCTCTCTCTCTCTCTCTCTCTCTCTTTTCTCTTTCTCTCTCTCTCTCTCTCTCTCTTTCTCGCTCTCGCTCTCGCTCTCTTTCTCTCTTACCTTTTCTCTCTCTCTTTCTCTCTCTCTCTTACTTTTTCTCACTCTCTTTCTCGCTCTCTCTCTCTTTCTATCTCCGCTCTCTCTCTCTTCTCTCTCTCTCTCTGCTGTCTCTCTCTCTCACACACACACACACACACACACACACACACACACACACACACACACACACACACACACACACACCACCACACACACACACATACACACACACACACACACTCCCAAATCTATGAGGAAGAAAATATTATAACGAGAAAGCCAGAGAAAGACACACGCGCATCAAATGCGCGTGCACGCACGTACGAAGAGGCACATACACATATACGAACACGCGCACACGCGCACAAACACATACGTTAGGTTCAAATGTAGGTGAACTGAAACTAACGCGGAGGTTGATGCAGCGCTGATGATAGCTACTTGTTCGTTAGCTACTTATTTGTTAGATACTTGCTTGTTATCTACTTGCTTGTTATCTACTTGTTTGTTATTTACGTATTTGTTAGCTACTTGTTTGTTATCTGCTTGTTTATTATCTACTTGTTTGTTAGCTACTTGTTTGTTATAGCTACTTGTTCGTTAGCTACTTGTTTATTATCTACTTGTTTGTTAGCTACTTGTTTGTTAGCTACTTGTTTGTTATCTACTTGTTTGTAGCTACTTGTTTGTTAACTACTTGTTTGTTGTCTGCTCACATGCAGGAACGGGCTGGAATGAAATTGCAGGAGGTCTGAATCAGATTAGCTCGGGCTATGACGTGGTCTGGGGTGTGAATGCCCGTGACGACATCTATATACGCCTCGGTGAGTTTCCCGCTGCGGTTCTAGAGATAGGGGTGTTGCCTCGCTCTCTCCGTCCACTCTTAATTCACGACTTCTTTTCGCATTCCACATTCGGTTCACAATGCCTCCCTTCACCCGCAGTTTCTCTGGTCTGCCTTCACGGCTACGATTGCCGTCCAACCCTTCACTCCACATTCTGCCCTTACGCCTCCCAACCCCATACTGCCCCGATGCCCTCTGTCGATTCCTATCGAGGCAAAATGACAGAGAAATATTCATGTGAACGCATCCATCTTGTGTTCCCGCAAATTATTGCCGACGCCGCTTATAGCGTGCCCTTACGTTATATATAGTACTGAGGTTTCGATGCGTAGCTTGCTATTACACCATAATAACCATATTTGTAAGCTGGTTAATTTGTTATTCCACCTATCTCATTAGGGATAACAGCGGCGAATCCTCTGGGTACAACGTGGAGCCAGATATCAGGTCTGTTGAAACAGGTCTCCGTCAGCGCCACGACCAACCACGTCTGGGGCGTAAACGCAAACAACGCCATCTACCGGCGCAACAGCGTCACATCACCCTAAGCATCTATACTATAATTTGGCTAATCTTGTGTGTGTGTGTGTGTGTGTTTGTGTGTGTGTGTGTGTGTGTGTGTGTGTGTGTGTGTGAGTGTGTGTGTGTGTGTGGAAGAACCGACGGTCTTGTGCAGTATCCAGTCTTTTATATGATCACAGCTATTCCACGATAAACGCCACAGTTTGAAAGAAGAAAACAGAATAACGCATATTGGAATGGTGATGATTAACAGAGTCAAACGATTTGGTTTGCTTTGCACATCTTAATAACATTCTTCTTGTAATCATTCATCCGTAATAGTTGGTTCTCGAGGAAAAAATGTTTATTAAATAAAGCTAGAAATGTTATCATAAAAATGCTTGTGCATTTTTGCGCCTTCACTGTGTGTATGGATGTGTGCGCGCGCACGTGTGTGTGTGTGTGTGTGTGTGTGTGTGTGTGTGTGTGTGTGTGTGTGTGTGTGTGTTTGTGCATGTGTGATAAAACGAACGAGTGAGATACATAGATGTATAGATAGATAGAGCGAGACAGAAACAGAAAGAAAGAGGGAGAAGCAGAGAGAGGGAGAGA